CAAAGAACGTACCGTATTTTCGGCGTGAGGAGAGATAAGAGACAGGTGTGTGTGTGTGTGTGTGTGTGTGTGTGTGTGTGTGTGTGTGTGTGTGTGTGTGTGTGTGTGTGTGTGTGTGTACAGAGTATCGTGTGTGGGATATCCAGGGTGATCCTGTGTGTGCGAACAGAGAGTTGTGTGGGCGCTGAGCCGCCATAGCCGTTGAAGTGAACTTGTACCTGAACTGTGTTCTTGGCTACTATATCTCTGAGTTTTGAGTGGGTGCTTGTCGCCAGTTTGCTGCGCACCTGTTTGCATGCATGCGAAGTGTGAATGAGAGCGAGTCTGATTGCATAAGCCCAATCATTGCACTTATCTTCTCCTTCCCTTGGTTTTGTTGTTGTCAACGGAAAACTGACGTTGCTATGGGTCTGAGGTTTACAGACGAAAACGGCACCATCCTTGTTTTTGGTTGTTGGTTTGCCTTTTCTCCTTCCTTCTTCTTGTTGTCGATGGTTATGGGTCCGGGGCTTATAGCCAAAGACACACCATCCTTTTTGAGGCTTTCCCTTTTTTTTTTTTTTTTTTGCCTTCTATCGCAAATAGTATAGATAAAATCCAAAAAATCAGTATTATAAAAGTTCAAATAATGTAAGTTGAAAAGAAGCTGTGAGTAATAAATTGCCCATTGCCATAGGAAGTAAAAACTTCCATCCAAGATCTAGAAGTTGATCAATACGGATTCCTTCTCTTGGTATTGTCAATGGAAAAACAAAGTTGTGGCTATGGGTCTGGGGCTTACAGCCAATACCGCACCATCATGACATGCTCCTCAAGATATCCAGGTGGGAGCGAATTGAGCCACATTTCATGTCTTGCATAAGTACTCATCTGGCTGCGATCATAAAATGCACACCATCCTGTTTTTCTTTTTTTTTTTCACTCCCAGCCCCTTCTATTCTGGGGGCCATCAGTTCGGTTGATTATCACTGGCAACCAAAGTTTTTGAAACGATTTGAAACAAGCAGAGGGGGAGATCAGATATAAAAGAGAGACAGCCTACCCTTGTGGCTCAAGCCGCCTGTTCAAGGGGGGGTTGCTACAGCGCTTTGAGGCTTTTTCTTTTTGTCTTTTTGCGACAATGAAGTTGTGGTTAAGGGTTTCGGGCTTACGGCCAATAACGCACCATCATGACACACTCCTCAAGATATCCAGGCGGGAGCGAATTGAGCCACATTTCATGTCTTGCATAAGTACTCATCTGGCTGCGACCATAAGATACCTTCGCTTTGCTCCACTGTTTCCATCTCCTGTGCTTCCTAAGCATTGCATTCGTCAGCGTCCCTGGTTGAAGTTTGCCATCGTCTCCATCAGCACTTTCTGCCTCGCTTACAGATGATGCCATAGAGACTCTCTTCCATGCATGTTGCCTATCTCTGTCACCGCCATCACCACTTTCTCCCTCGCTTACAGATGAT